CGCGCTACCCCACGTGACGCTTTCGGATCATTCCTGGGCTCAAGCGCACTCCTCCCCACCCATCAGCTCCACTGCGTGGGAAGACCCCCTCGGACTCAACAGGCCGCATAACCACCAAATGCCTGGCTAGATTTCCTTTTAATGTAGAGATGATATACCGCCCCTAGGCTGGAGTGAAGCAGTGGCACAGTCCCTCACCACTTCCAAGGAACTCCACTGCACCTCTGCGCCATCCGGGGTTCAAGTGATTCTCCTCGCCCTCTCAGCTCCGAGCAGCCACTGGGACTAACAGACACGCGTCGTCACACGACACCCAGCTAATCCTTCTTGATATTCTTTAACGAATAGAAAAAGGTCGGGCGGTTTATAACCCTGTTGACCAGCGCTCTTGTCTGTGCTCATCACCCTGACCGGTCCCTCGATTCGCACCCCTTGGCCTCACCCACCCAAAGCTGGCTGGCGATCTACAACAACCAGCTGACGCCCCCCCATCCGCCTGACCCTTTTCTCTTTTTTCTTTTTTCTTTTTTTTAAATACGGTCTTTGCTGTGTTCCACAGCTGGCCGTGCCCAATCACACAACCACAAGACCACTAACATAGAACAGCCTTAGGCTAACAAACAGCGACATACACAGTCGAGATCCACATACACTACTTCTTCGCCCTCGGCGCGCCCCTGTGCTACGCCACCGAGCGGAAAGTTTCCCTCTATTTTTATTCTTGGTTTTTTTGGATGGAGTCTTTGCCTGTGCCTGCGGCTGGGTGGCAGTGGCGCTAGCCTCAGACTCCCTCGCCACCGTCTGCTCCCTCGGATTCGAAACGGCGCTTTCTCTGGCTCCCTCAGCCTACTTGACGTAGCCCTGGGTTCATACCGCGCATCACACACACAAAATGCCCAGACTGATTTCTTTTTTTTTTTGTATTTTTCTCTTTTGGCCCAGCACTTAGGGAGACCTAAGGGTGTGGATCACTAGGTCAGGAGATAAAGACTATCCTGGCTAACACAGTAAAACCCCGTCTCTACTAAAAATAAAAAAAAAAGGTCAGGCATGGTGGCTCACGCTGGTAATCCCAGCACTTTGGGAGGCCAAGGTGGGCGAATCATGAGGTCAGGAATTCAAGACAAGCCTGGTCAACATGGTAAAACCCCACCTCTACTAAAAATACAAAAATTAGCTGGGTGTTGTGACACGCGTCTGTAGTCCCAGCTGCTCGGGAAGCTGAGGCAGGAGAATCACTTGAACCCCGGAGGCAGAGGTTGCAGTGAGCCGAGACTGTGCCACTGCACTCCAGCCTAGATGACTCATCTCTACAAAAAATAAATCTAGCCAGGCATGGTGGTATGCGCCTGTAGTCCCAGCCACTCAGGAGGCTGAGGTGGGAGGATCGCTTGAGCCCAGGAAATCAAAGCTGCAGTGTACCATGATCCCGCCACTGCACTCCAGCCCAGGCCACAAAGCGAGATCCTGTCTCTAAACAACAACAACAACAAACCCTAGTGAATCAATCAGAGACTCAAACATTTGGCCCACTACTTCCTCAACAAAGGCACTTCCCTTACCTGCACAGATCTCCCAGTACCATAAGGCCTAGAAATAGCCCCAACGGTAACAACTCCTTATTTGAATTCAAGGTTTTCTTTTTTTTTTTTTTAATTGAGACAGAGTCTCGCTGTCACCCAGGTTGAAGTACAGCGGCACCATCTCAGTTCACTGGAGCCTCTGCCTCCCAGGTTCAAGCAATTATCCTGCCTCAGCCTCCTGAGTAGCTGGGATTACAGGCACCTGCCACTACACCCAGATAATTTTTGTATTTTTAGTAGAGATGGGGTTTCACCATGTTGGCCAGGCTGGTCTTAAACTCCTGACCTCAGGTGATCCCACCACCTCGGCCTCCCAAAATGCTGGGATTAAAGGCGTGAGCCACCGTGCCGGGCCGAACTACAGGTTTTTTTTTCTTTTCTTTTTTGTCCTCACAATCTGTTCCCAATTTCAGGTTTTATACGTTTAGTCAACTTTCCATTAGCCCAGTCAACTAGCAATCTTCTCCCTGCCACCTCCCAATTAGGTCAGTCAGCAGAGGTGAATGGAAATACCTAACGCATAGATAATACATCCATATACACACATACGACATGCTGACTTCCAAACTGATAATCCAAAGTAATGTGCAAGCTCATTTACATCCAACCCCGTAGGCACCCCGGCCCCTATCAATTGGTTTTATATCATTAGCCAGGCATGGTGGTTCGCATCTGTGGTCCCAGCTACTTGAGAGGCTGAGGTGGTAGGACCGCACAGGAGGTAGAGGCTGCAGTGAGCAAGATCACACCACCGCACAACAGCCTGGGGAACAGAGTCAGATTCTCTTTTTTCTTTCATATTTTTATTTATTAATTTATTTTGAGATGGGGGTCTCACTTTGTTGCCCAGGCTAATCTCAAACTCCTGGGCTCAAGCGATTCCTGAGTTGGCCACCCAAAGTGCTGGCTGGAATTACAGGCATGAGCCACTGCACCCAGCCAAGACCCTTTCTCAAAAAAAAAAAAAAAAAAAAAGGCCAGGCACGGTGGCTCATGCCTGTAATCCCAGCACTTTGGGAGACCAAGGCAGGCAGATCATGAGGTCAGAAGATCGAGACCATCCTGGCTAACACAGTGAAACCCCGTCTCTACTAAAAAAAAATACAAAAAATTAGCCAGGCATGGTGGCGGGCGCCTGTAGTCCCAGTTGCTCTGGGAGGCTGAGGCAGGAGAATGGCGTGAACCCAGGAGGCAGAGCTTGCAGTGAGCCAAGATGGCGCCACTGCACTCCAGCCTAGGCAACAGAGTGAGATTCCGTCTCAAAAAAAAAGAAAGGTTTTGTATTACTTTTTATGTCTTCTCTTTCTTAGACCCACAAAGAAATCAAATTTCCTTTTACTCTGGAAAGTCTTCAAAGCATTATTTTTCTTACATGTTACCTCGGTTTTAGACTCTCCCATAGTCTAAATCCAAATCCAGGGAAGAAAAGATCCAAGAGAGTCTCCATAGTAACAGACTCCGAAAGCCAGCCTACTGCTGGAGGCTCGGTGGGTGTCCTCAGACCCACCCAGCGGCACCAGGGACAGTAGGATTCATGGTGAGAGGTGGGGGCCCGGCCTGTCTTACCAAGTTCCAGAAGCTGTCATGATTGCTTGGATTCTCACTGCCCAGAACATCCGCCGACAAACTGTCCACCTCGCACACATGGAGCCGGACCCAGTCAAGGAGGTGGAGGAGGAGATGGCCAGCTGGGAGGAGAGACTCTCATCACACACAAAAGCCTCAGCTTCACCTGCAGCAAGTTCCACTTTATCCAAAGAACAGAGAACGTTAAGGCAGACGAGCTGACTACACAGGTTTATCCCTTTTAAGCAGTCACACACGTGGTCCTGAATGAAGGACTGCGCTAAGAAAAAGCAAGTGCACTTTCACCAAATATTACCTCTGTGCCAGGCAGCTCCATCTTTAACTGACCCCAGAAAGGGGTGAAAATGGAATGCAGACCTCACCACCAGATTCTTCACAAATACTCAATAGCTACACAAGTAATGGCCGTTTAGGAACCAGTACTGACTAGCAAGCAGCCAGGTATGCAATGATGATAAAAAACATATGGCCAAGGGGCTGGTGGCGCACACCTGGAATCCCAGCACTTTGGGAGGCTAAGGCAGGTGGATCACCTGAGCTCAGGAGTTCGAGACCAGCCTGGCCAACATGGCGAAACCCTGTCTCTACTAAAAATACAAAAATTAGCCAGGCGTGGTGGCGCATGAATGTAATTCCAGCTGCTCATGTGGCTAAGGCAGAATTGCTTGAACCCAGGAGGGAGAGGTTGCAGTGAGCCAAGATCACACCACTGCACTCCAGCCTAGGTGACGGAATGAGACTCTGTCTCAAAAAACAAAACAAAAAAATAATATGGCCGGGCATGGTAGCTCATGTCTGTAATCCTAGCACTTTGGGAGGCTGTGGCAGGCAGATCGCTTGAGCCCAGGAGTTTGAGACTAGGTTGGGCAACATAGGGAGACCCCATCTCTACAAAAAAATAAAAAATAAAAAATTAGCTGAGCCAGGAACGGTGGCTCATGCCTATAATCCCAGCATTTTGCGAGGCCAAGATGGGCAGACTGCTTGAGCCCAAGAGTTCAAGAACAGCCCGGGCAACACGGCGAAACTTCCCCTCCACAAAAAATACAAAATTAGCTGGGCGTGGTGGTGCGTGCCTGTGGTCCCAGCTACTTAAAAGGCTGGGCAGGAGGATTGCTTGAGCCCAGGAAGTCAAGGCTGCTGAGCTGTGATCAAGCCACTGTACTCCAGCCTGGGTGACAGAGCAAGACCCTGTCTCCCCTCCCCCAGCGCATACACACAAAAAATTAGCCTGCATGGTGGCACGTGCCTGTAGTCCCAGCTACTCAGGAGGCTGAGGCAGGAAAATCACTTAAGCCTGGCAGGTCCAGACTGCAATAGCCGTGATTGGACCACCACACTCCAGCCTAAGTGACACAATAAGACCTTGTCTCAATCAATCAATAAAAATAAAATGGCCGGGAGCGGTGGCTCAAGCCTGTAATCCCAGCACTTTGGGAGGCCGAGACGGGTGGATCACGAGGTCAGGAGATCGAGACCATCCTGGCTAACACGGTGAAACCCCGTCTCTACTAAAAAACACAAAAAACCAGCCGGGCGAGGTGGCGGGCGCCTGTAGTCCCAGCTACTCGGGAGGCTGAGGCAGGAGAATGGTGTGAACCCAGGAGGCGGAGCTTGCAGTGAGCTGAGATCCGGCCACTGCACTCCAGCCTGGGCGACAGAGCGAGACTCCGTCTTAAATAAATAAATAAATAAATAAATAAATAAATAAATAAATAAATAAATAAAATGAAATAAAATGGCAGAGTATAGCCAGCACTCTGTATCCATGATGTAGAACCTGCAGATACAAACAGCCAACAGTAACCTCCTCAAAACTCCACTGGAGAAGGGAGGCCTCTGAACAACCAACTCTAATTTCAAGTTCCTCACTTCTTTAGCGAGAGTATGAATAAAATGCTAGGGCTACACAGAGGTTACTACTCATTTATGGGAAATAGCAAACATAAATCCTTAAAAGAAATGCAAAAAAGCTGCAGCAGATCCACAGAGAGCTCATACAGGCCATGACACTATACTAATCCAAATCCAGGGAAGAAAAGATCCAAGAGAGGCTCAAGCCTGGAATCCCTGCACTTTGGGAGACTGAGGTGGGCAGACCACCTGAGGTCGGGAGTTCAAGACCAGCCTGACCAACATGGAGAAACCTCATCTTTACTAAAAATACAAAATTAGCCGGGCATGGCGGCGCATGTCTGTAATCCTAGCTACTCAGGAGGCTGAGGCAGGAGAATCACTTGAACCTGGGAGTTGGAGGTTGTGGTGAGCCGAGATCACGCCATTGCACTCCAGCCTGGGCAACAAGAGCAAAACTCCCATCTCAAAAAAAAAAAAAAAAAAAATCAACAAAAAAATTCCCATTGGCAGAGTTAACACACAGAATTGCCCTGTCCCAATCATTAGTGACAGCCAACGTGACTTTGCCTCTCACCACCTAATCCCACCCCACGTTCATAAAACTTTCTTGAGCTTAGCCAGTTCATGATGTTAACACTGACCCCGCCTTTCACACACTAGTTTAATATTTCTCAGTACCTGTGACGGTTTAGCTTTCTAGGAGGCACTCTGTGTGATTCTTTTTGTAGCACCTGACAAAATGGTCCGGTTTCTTTGGGTGTTTTCTAATGATTTCCCATGGTTATAATGATGGAAAGAACATTCTCAGGAATAAAACACTCATCACCATGCACAGGAAAGATGAGGAAAGAGCAGAAGATGGCAGGGGACACCTATGATGTTATAAGGTGAGATTATTCCATGCTTACCCGGGGCCACTTCAATAAAAAGAATCTCACACAGGTTCCAGATGAGCTCCATTGCTGACAAAATGGAGACCTAAGGGAGAAATGGAGACAGGTTTCACCTGAAATCATTCCTGAGCTTTGCTCTGAGAGCCAAGGGATAAAGCAGGCCTTGACTCACATGACAGTCATTCCTTAACCCAACAGCTACTGCAATCCTACAGGAGGATTTCCCAGAGGGGAGTCAGCACGAGGATGTTAGGTGGCGGGATGGAGGCTAACATTATTTTGTTTTAGTGGTTGTGATTTTATTTTACCGTGCATTACAAAAATAACTTG